CCCAAGTAGCTGGGACTACAGACGCCCGCCACAATGCCTGGCTAGGCAAAGACTATTTTTTCTTCATTTCTTTATATGGGGAACCTAAGACTATGCCTTGTCTGTAGTAATTCAGTTCTGTTCAGTAGGCTTGCTTTTATTGTCTACTCTGTACCAGCACTGTGCCAGGTGCTAGAGTTCCATAAGGGTTTGTAAATGAATGAAGGGGTTTTGGAATTGTGTCTCCATTTCCAACTAACGCGTGTCTACCTTTCATGCAGGTGAATTACACTGTGTGTCTTTGGATGGTAGTCATTAAGAGAATAGTCTCAGTGCACAGCCTGAGATGCTTCCTCCCTATGGTGGGTTTCTTTTCCAAACCAGGACTTCTTTCCTGGTGTGCCAGAAAACCACCATGTTGGTCACAGCTCTTTTTGAGCACAACATGTGAAGGAAATTTCACCCATGTGATAGCTAAGAAGTATCAAAAAGGACAGAAAAGTCAAAAGGAACCAAGCCATCCTGGACCACTACATGGTTCCTGGCAGGAAAGGTAAGGCCTCGGCTGATACCCTTTCTCCTTAGGAAGTCTGAATTTGTGGGTCTACTAAAACTCTGTATTCCTACTATAACTAACGTGGCATTACAAGTATTTGAAGGGGCCCCTGAGGTAGGAGACCCAGGGCAAACTTGAGGATAACTGAAGACTGTTATTGGAAATGCTTTTGGATTGTAGAAAATGTTCTTGTCTTGAGTATGTTTTTGTCAGATGATATTAAATTAGGAGCTTGTCTTTGAAAGTTCAGGGCAGGTATGCTGAAAACCAGGGAACCAGAATATTAGATGAGTTAGAGATGAATAGTCCCCACTGCAGCCATAGAAACACAAATATACCACATTTTATGCAACAAATGTATTTTCTAAATCAAATTATATTTTAAAAGCATTAGGGAGGTGAGCTATTTAAAGGAACCCAACAGTGAAGCCTTTTGTAATATGATTAATTACCTCCTGATAAATCTGGATTTTTCTTATATTAGGTTTTCCCATCTGTTCTGTTTTGTTCAGTAGACAGCACTCTTCTCCCAGAATCCATCTCCCTAGGAGCATGAGAGTTAGGTCTTCTGAATGATGGTTAAGTAAAACACCAGAGAAAATGGTGACAGGAAGTACTTATGCATAGTAGGTGCTCAGTACATGGTGGTTATATAATTAATAAGTGCCTGAATTATTTTATTTAAGGCTGGCTGATGTTGTGACTCCACTCTGGAGGCTGAGCTATGAAGAACAGCTCAAGGTAGGTGCCCAGTTAAAGTGTTCACCCTTCTTCTCCAGCAGGGTGGTGGGAGTGGTGCTAGATTTGTAGGAAGCTTGACTGGATAGTTGTACCCAGATGCCTGAGCAGCTTAAGCTCAATATGCTAATGACTCCGAAATTTGAACTTTGAGCCACTTATATCTTTCACACTCTAGATTCATAGTTCCAAATGCTTATTTCATTTCTCCTTTGCTTTTTTTT